CCCCCCCCCCCCCCCCTTCGTCTTGATGTATTGGGTGTGGGGTCCCCCACCTGATGAACACTTGAAGATTTACGGGCCTGAGATGGCTCCCTGCGGAACACGTGCGGAATGACGGGCCTGAAGAATGGTGTTTGGATGTTCGGTGGTGTGGACGTGAATTTGTTTGTTTGTTTTCGGTTTCGTCTTGTTGCTGGTTTCCGTATGCAGCGGATAGGTCGAGGTCCAGCGGGCTTTCTTTTCGAAGTGTGTTCCATCTCCAAGTAGCATGCAGTGCCTCCCGGGCCCGCGCACCATGCCCACGGGGAACAATGGATATTCTTCCTAGTTATGACGTACCCCCATCGCCCCTTCCACCGCCGTGGCTCGATCCGATTCGGAGTGTCTCGGTGGAAGTGGCACTGCCGCTGAGGGTGTCCTACACTACACCGTAGGAGGCGTGCCCACTTTCTCGTTTGATCGGGTCTGGGTCGAAGATTGATTCTCCGACCTCGCGTGTGACGTATCCTTTCGCTCTCTCTCTCTCTCTTGTTTGTTGTAGACGGCTCTCTCGCAAGCTACGGTACCCCCCCCCCCCCCCCCCCCCCCCCNGCTCCCACAGCTGACGCATCCCCCCTCCTCCTCTCCCCCGCCCGCCCTTGCGCCCTTCCGTCTGTTTGTTCTGCTTGTATGTGTTTGGTGTGCGCGTGCGTGAATGTGATCGTCTCTACCCCTTGTGGTTGACTTTGCCCGCGTTGCTGTGTCGCTTGTTGGTTGTATCTTGTGTTGTGTTTTCCGTGTTGGTGACCGTACCTCGCCCGTGCTTGCGCTGCGTCTGTGTCGTGGGGGGCATTTTTTCCACGTGGGGGACCCACCCGTGTGATGTTTGTGGTTTGCCGTGGTGGTTACTGGTGTATACCACTTGGGCGGTTGGTGGTACCCCACGTCTCCTGTGCGTGTGTGTGTGTGTTTGTTGAGGGCAGGACCGGCACGGGGGGGCGCTTGAGGGACGTGATGGCCACCGGCCGCGGCGCGAAGCCGATCGCCGGCATCAGCAGCTATTGCGTCGGCAACCTCCGCATCCCCGGCTACCCTCTCCCCTGGGAGGAGGACTGGCCCTATGCGTCCAACCTCGCCACCCCGCTTGACATCGAGGTGGGTCATTCGAAAGGTCTTCTCAAGGCCTAAATCTGGCTATAACCCACTGTTTTTGGTTTATGTAATATGAAGCTTTGAGGCGCTGAAACATGTCCTTGTTGGTATTTTGTGTGAGTGATTTTGCCAAATTTTACAATGCGATCTGGCAAAGACTACGTTTTTGGTAAAGTTTGTGGGTTCCTTCGTTTGGGGAGTCCGTGATCTGCCTATTCAGTAGCGTGCTAGGTTTATCTTTGTTTTCGTTGTTTCTTGCAGAAGGCGGGGTTGTTGACGCCTGTGCTTTTTCGAGCGGTCTAATCCACCGCAGACTTGCTGTTCGGCCTTCTTGATATTTGCTTAGAATAGGCATGTCTGCGTGTTGTTGTTTTTCAATTTCAAACAGGTGTTGGTATGTGTTTTTTGTTCAAGTATTTTTTTTTTTTTTTTCGTTCAAGGTGGTGAGTGTGTATGTTTGGATTGTGCGCTCACCGGCTTTTGCGTTTTTGTTTTTCACCGTGTTTGAGGCGGCAGGTGCATGGTGATGGAGTACTACGCGGTCGAGCAATTCATTAAAAGTACGTAGATGTTTGTAGGTTGGTGTGTTTTTCTTGGTAGTCGGCGCACGGTAAGTGTCCTTCCTCACTCCTGACGTTACTGACAGTTCTTGCTTTTCTCCCTGGTCGTCCTCCCCTGTGTTTCTTTGCCCCCCCCCGTCTCCCCCGGTGTTTGCCATCGGGGTTGGGTTTTCGTCGCTTGGCAACGACGTTGTAAAACAAGCCGCCCCCCCCGGT